AACCATTTTTTGCGCGACAACACATCGATATTTAGTGCTTATACTTTGGATTGGGAGTTTAGCAGCTTCTGTAATTCGGCTTCTCGGAGGTCTGGTTTGTGGGCTGATTTGAGAGTGTGAGCTCAGTATATCAGATGGTTCATGTTGACACGGCGCCCACATGAAGGTTACCTTAAACATTGCGCATAGAGACGTCTGATGTGTGCAGAGTTGAGTGAGAAGGCGCCGAACAGAGGAGAAATCAGTCAACCTAAAGTGTCATCAGGCAGCACTAACTGACACTCAACATACCGAGAGTGTTAGGGTGTCGGTTGGGCTTGAGATAGCTCTGTCGGGCTGCTCGATTGCTGTTTGACCCTGCGTCGTAGATCGCAATGTGACAGTGCTGTGGCATGAGCTGCTGGTGTCAGCCCATTCAACACAGTCAAACCGCATTCCTTTTTGCCAAAATTCATTCTTACTTTTTTCTGCGATTCTCCTTTCTCAATTTTTTCTCACAGTATAATTGCCCGAAAAAGGCATATTAAATTTCGTGAATAACTCTGATGATGGAACCTGTTTTTTTTTCTCGTCTTTTTTTCTTCCTTTTTTCAAAAAAAAAAAACACTTTTCTATCATGAGCAACATTTCAGATATTTGTAAATATCAACTTTGAATCATTTTTTCCGTGCTTGTTTAATAATTATTTCTCATTAGCATGTTCTTCCGAATGAATGTTCTCACCAATTAATTCCTGGGATATAATGACTTATCATGAAAAAAATTAATTTTTCCCAGCACAAAGACGACGCAGAAAAAAGTGATTTGCTGAACAAATTTTATTTTATTATCACAAATTTGTATAAATTACTACCCTAATGGAATCATGCTTATGCTATGCTAAACTTGTGTAGGTATTCGTTCGTCACGCAATTAAGTTATTGTGGAATGGATGAAGCGTTGAATTTGTGTGGTGTGAACGTTTATTTTGTTTCATATGGCGGTTTCCATCCACCGAAGGCGGCTTCAATTTCGGCAGCAATGCACAGACATAATCGATCGTGATATGGTGCAGCTACAATTTGGAATCCAACGGGCAACCCGTTACGATCTTGACCCAATGGAACGTGCGTTGACGGGAAACCGAACAAATTGAAAATCATCGTATACGAGACACCGCTCAATTTCAAATGCGAGTCATTGTGACGCACGGCCGTAGTTGGATATGTTGGATAAAAGAACACACCATCATCGCCAAGCATGTCCTAAAAGTTGAAATAAATGCATAGCATCAGATTATGATACAAAATGCCAATCGTATTTCAAATGTACGAAATTCAACATACCAAAAACTGCTGTCGATATTTTTCCAACCGTTGAGCATATTTGGGGATATTCCGTTTCAGAATTAAACCGTGTGTTTCATACAAGGCCGAAAAGAATAAACCGGCAAAACTGTAGTCTGATTGACCGACTGAACATTTAAGCATCTCCAAGTACACATTGTGTACCTTCTTTGGATTTTCAACGTCACGCAGGATCAATGGAATGTCTTGCATGGTGAAGAATTGAGCCAAACCGCATTCAATCAATTCTTGCATAGATCCGATCGGTGCTCGTTTCACATCTAAACCATTGTTACGGAAATGTTCGGCCGCGTTGCGAATGGCAATTTTTATTTCTGATTGAACTGGAATATCCACTAACGAGAATCCGGCTGCTGTCTTATAGAATATCTGATGAAAGAAGAATAATCAAATGATTCATTTGAAATTAAATCCACTTGGATTTTTTGCTATCTTGGATAAGAAGCAAATACCGGATATTATTTTATTACCTTTATGTCTTTAGTATAAAGTGGTTCGTTGAGACGAAGTTTGTCCGCTTTTTTGCCAGCCATAATGTGTAAGAGTGTGGGCAAATCTTTTGCATATCGACACATTGGACCCACGACCAAATAATTGGAAAAGCATTCGTCCATTGAGTAGGGAAAGTGATTGATGACTGACAATAGACCACCCGTTGGCTTATGACCGAAAATTCCGTTGAAAAGTGCTGGAACACGAATCGAACCCGCTATGTCTGAACCAATACCAAACAATGAAGCACCACTACCAACAAGTGCACCCTGAAAAATGGCAGAAAAAAATTCATTTTAGCATCATGAAATTTACCTTTGAAAAATAATGAGATTTTTAATTTAAAATCGTGTCTCTGTCATAAAAAGGCCATTTTTTGAAGAAGAAAAATTGATGAAACATACCTCTCCACCAGATGAACCACCTGAGCTGTGACGAGTATCGTATGGATTAAGTGTGCGTCCCGTAACTAAGTTGCTCGATTCCCAGCTGGTGCAAAATTCAGGTGTGTTTGATACCAGCAATGGAATACCTCCGGCCGATTTAAGCAATGCCACCGTTTCACCGTCTTCAGTTGCCTTCATTCCCTTTCTATGTACCGAACCAACGGAATATGACATGCCTATGTGTGCGAGAGTGAGCACAGACAAAAAACCGTAAACAAAATATCAAGTAAACCTGATGTAAATATTTGTGCTAAGAAAATTTTTTGGGTTGATTTTCGGTGAAAAAGAAGTCATGGTCATCGAGAGCATTAATTATTCGATCGACGTGTATATGTGTTTATGGCTCGCGCCTAAGATCGCGCCTGTCATTTCCGATGATTGCCACTCGTACGTTGGCTACACTCAACTCTCTCATCTCACAACACACACACACACACACACACACACACTTGTGATTTCGATTTCATTGACCTAATGCTTGACCGAAATATACGATGGTTGATCGTTTTTGTGCACATTAGACAGAAGAAGAAGAAGAGAAAAAAAAATAATATCGACACCCAGCGCACACATCAGACAAAACGTCATGTGCTCAAAATGCTGTGTAAGCGTGATTACCGTTGCCCATTATTAAAATGAATATGCAAAAAAGCATTTAAGCCGCATTTCTTCTGTTTGATCAATCTCTCTCTCTCTCTCTCTCTCTCTCTCTCTCTCTCTCTCTCTCTCTCTCTCTCTCTC